ATATTTTAAGTGATTAACTAAAAGATTCAGACGTAGAACCGTAAGACAGTGATGAAAGCCTTTTAGAGGATAACGTAGAGGATCAGTTAATTTATAGTGATACGGAAGATAAGTTAACTGATAATGGACATAATATTAGTAGTAGTGTTTGTTACGAGACATCGAGTACCTTATTTTATAGCTAAAGATGGATCAAGATGGAAAAAGCATGCTAGCGAAAAACCAAATGTTAAAACTCGCCAGCTTAATCTTATACCGCATTTACCTGGACCGAAGGGTGATATCTAAAGACTAAACGGCTAAGGAACCATCTAAAATATGGTCATATTTATCTCCAAATGAACAAATTCATTTATTGTTTGGAAAGAGTATGATTCCACACAAAATATAATCTACGAGACTACGGATTTAACTGAAATTAAGGCCTTCATAGGGTTGCTGTACATATATAATACAAATAAAAGTGGCTATCAAAATTATCAAGATCTGTTCCGCACCAATGGCATTTCCATGGAGATTTACCGGTCGACCATGCCTGAATGAAGATTTCACTTCAGTTTGACTTAGGTGTGAAGTATAGATAAATTATCGGTATAGAACATTCGCATGAACTGTGTGGTGACTGTTTTTATGATCATAATGTAGATGAATAATTTGACTTTATTCTGGATGGTAGCTTAATGTTAGTATTAGTGTTTTTTACTATATTACTCCTTATTAGCCAGACATTTTTTTTGTTCTTGCCCTTAATTTTTTTAATAAATAATGAAACCAATTGGCACATTTTTTGTAACTTTTTCTTACTAACAATTAAAAAACCACTCACAAAAAGTTATTCCTAAACAAAATTTATTGTTAAAGGTTTAAACGTTTCAGTTGCTTATTAAAAAAGTAAAGTATCATAAAATTTATAGTATAATTAATTTTTCGGTCCGTGAGACCCAGCGTTACAGGAATTCTTGTTTCGAAACACATTACGGACGAAGGGTTAACTGAATGTTTGACAAATTTAACAGTTTAAGTTATGATATAGTAGAAGCTACTAGTTTAAATAGTTTCAAAAGCAAGTTAGATGAAAACTAACTGGAAATTGTACCTATAAAGTAGTATAATGTTAACTTTGTGTATCTTTAATTTTTTTTATGAAAACTGTGATGAATGTAAGAATATATTTTATATTTTTTTTTGTTATAATTAATTTTGTAATCATATGTATGCTTCGGAATGTTGTATGTTTTTTGTAATTTGCTGTTATTGTAAAAAATGCTTCTATTATTTTTTTTTTCAAACGTAACAAAGGAATTACAATATAAAAATTGTTACTTTTACACCTAAACATAAAAGTAAAGCACTTTAACGTCTAGGCACAAAAATGTAAAAGTCAAAAACTTAGAAGATTCGTAAACTGCAGTGGACTGGTTAATCCTTCGGATACAGTCCTTGCAGGACACAAAATATCTAAAGGAATAAGCGATGCCCTAAGATCTTTGGAATCAGACATAGGTACTACTCGTACTTTTGTGCAACAATAAGCACAAATGTTCACAAAACTTAACGAGTAGCACAAAAATCGGTGATTTTTCTTATTTGTTAAAGTGACAATCAATATAAGTAACCATAGTAAACATACAAACTATTTGCAACGTTTGAAAAAAAAAGTATGTTTTATTCGAAGTAAAAATGGCTTTTTCTGCGTCAAACGTACAACCTCGCCACAAAAAGTATCATTTTCACAATTAATAAAACAACGTACTGTTTTTATTGTTATTTTTACTTTGTTAGAAAATTTGTTTTATATTATTATTTAGTCTAGTTCCCTAAAATACTTTGTACACATAAGCTCTACATAAAAAATAAATTAATTAATAAAGTATTTACTTCTTCGTAAAAATTTACTTCGTAAAAGTATTTACTTACTGGTGCAAAATCTGAATGATTTACTTAAGTAATTTAGTTTTTTTTGCAAAAATAAAGGAGTTTTGGTATGCAAAAATTAAGGAGTAATTTTTTTGATTAAGAACGCCTACGCTCTTACAAAATTTCGGGCCAATGCCTTTTAAATGCATTCATTTCTTTTCAAATCCTGGGAAAACTAATAAATGTTTTTAAAAAATTTAAACGCAGAATGAAAGATTACATTATTGCCGAGGGCCGAAAACTTACTGAAATAAAAAATATAGAAGTTTTCAGGGACTCTCGGCCCTAGGTAATAATGTAATCTTTCATTCTGCGTTTGAATTTTCCAGAAATACTTATTAGTTTTCTCAGGATTCGAAAAAAAAATGAATGCATTTTAATAAGTATTTTCCAGAAATTTTAGACCAGAGACTATAATAAATAGATGATAAATAAGACTTGCACTTGGACTTGCTACAGCTATAGGGTTTATTGTTTAGTTTTCTAGCGGAACAATCATGCAAATTTTGTACTTGGAAATCACTTTTATTTTTGTTGTAATTTTTGTAATATGTACATTGTTAAAGTGAATCTTTAGCTTTCTTTTAAATTCGATCATAAAAATTCAAAACTCCTTTTTACTTTGCATTATTTATTTTAATCAGTTTCATTTTAATTAAAATTTCATATATTTAATTAATAAATTACTAATTAGTAATTATTTTTGTTGGGAATAAGCCACAATTTATTTCCACTTCCGAAATCATTCTCAAAATACAAAACATTAATGTTACTTGGTGAAAAATTCTTCTAATAATTTAATTTTATCTGAGTCATTCGTATTGACAATTTTATTCAGACATATATTATACATTTTAAAGTAGGCGACTTGAAATAATATCGCCAATATTGCGGAGTTGCGTTCGTGGAACGAGTTTATTGTAAGAGTTCTTTCGATTACATGAAATCTTAATATATAAATGGTTTATTAATAGTTGTAAGGTATCTTTCCATATTTTGAATATGTCAGAGTAACTAGAAAAAAAAGATTGGGAAAAAAGAAAAACTATGTAATTACATGTTTTGGTGGTTACCTGAAGCAAATGAAAACCAACGAGAAGTAAAATAAAAATATCAGTAATTACACAAAAAATAGAATAGGGGTAATCAATGATTCCAAATTATTAGTTATTGGCAAAAAAAGATAAGAGCTAGGAGACTAGTTCAAGAAAAAATAAGACAATATATATTCATGTTTAAATAAACAAGTTTCAAGATCAGCTTCACATGTTTTAGATGTTTAAAATATTAAAAAAATTCAATGTGATTTGAAGAAACACGAATAACTTAAAGATTGCCAATTATAAACTATGAGTAAAGAGTAAAATTTAAAATGCAAGGTCAAAATTGAGATCGGATCATCAAGTCATGCAATGACAGGTAAATAAAATGGATATTCAGAAATGAAGTAAACAAGTCACGGAAGTAAAAAAATAGCAAAAAAAATAAAAGGTGTTACTTTTCGAGATGGAGTGAGTAATTACTCTTTTAGTTAGAATAAGCCATAATTGAAGTTTGAAATAAGTTTGTTGACGTTTCAATATTCACTTCGGAAATTTTTCTTAAAATACAAGATAAATTATACAAATTTTGTTTTTTGTTAGTGAAAAATTCTTCTAATAATTTAAATTTATCTGATTTATTTATATTGACAATTCGGACATATATTAGTTCATTCGATTACATGAAATCAACTTGAGAATATCCGCCAGAAAAATTATAGCAGTGATTCGCTTTTAAAAAGACGAATTACATGTCATAATGATATTAAAATTCTGCTGTTAATGATTCCATGGTAAATCATGAGGAAAAAACCAATACAATACATTTTAAATAACATATACATAGAATCAGAATTTAAAATTTATTGGAAATAAACTAAATGTAAGACCAAATACTTTCCTTCCATCGTAATTGTATTATGAAGTTTTTTCGTCATTATTTACTATGGAATCACTAACATGAGAAAGTTACTGTCATCATGTGGTTGCCTTTTTAAAGACGAATCACACGCTATGATTTTTGTGACAAATATTCTCGAGATAAAGTTGATTTTATGTAATCGAATTAACTATCTTACATAAATCATTTTAAACTCGTCTACTTTAAAATGCATATATCTGCAATTGTCAACAAGTAAGTCAGATACAATTAAGTATTAAAAAGATTTTTCACCAAGCAACAAAAAACAAAATTTGTCCAATTTATTATTGTTTGATTATTTGAGAACGATTTTCGAAGTGGAAACTGAAACTTTAATGTTTGTGACCTATTCCATTAAAATAGTAATTACGTTAAAATGCCACAAGAAAATAGCTTCTTAACTGAGTGTTTGTAAAAAAAACATGAATGAACAATATGGGAATAATGATTAAAGTTCATTGACAGTGATATTTTTGATTCAGCACTAATCCCTCCAAAATCATGCAAAGATGTGTACAAACAATGAGTAAATACATTAGTTAGGTGTACGTGTCATTAATTATGTGCTTGAGTAAAGAAAAAATAAGTATAAATCGTATTGCCAATGTTGAATTTGAATTGTAAGAAATATAACAATGACACAAAAAGACAGATAGTGGATGCTAGTAGCCAAGGTGTATATTTAACAAATTTTTAGAGTACCCCCGGTATTGTAAAAAAATCATGTAACCTCAATCAAATGTACATATTATCAAAATATTTATTTAAAGTACTTTAAACATGCAGATTTTTTCAAGTATGCTAAATGCTTATGTAAATTGCTTAATTTTGAAAGTTTTACAAGTAGTTATGTGAACGATGTTATGCAATTTTAACGTTTTGTGTATGTTTAAAAGTTTATACTCATATGTGAGAGTTTAAAAAATCAATTTTAATTCATTTATTAGACAGAAGTACAGACGAATATTCTATTTATATTTTTTAAACCATAAAAAAGTAAACATATCCTTGATATCATTTGAAAAATATGAACCATGTATTAGATGCACAAATATTGTTTTATTTATTTAATAAGGAAAGGACGTAATTTTAAACAAAATAAAAATCGTTTTTGTACTCACCGAATTCTATCTTGTAGATCAACTTTACTCTTCTTCTTAGAGTGGGCATGAATGGGCGAAACACTGGGTTCACTTCCCGAAGTTGGGGGACTAGAAGAGCCAGTACTAGAGCAAGACAAACTACCAGTTCTTGCTCTTATCTCACTGCCGATGGGGTGGTTGGAAGAAATAGCAAGGGTAGGTCGACTGTTTTTATTCTTACGTTTTTTCTTTTTTCCTGAATCGACTTCTTCGATTCTACCAAATATATTACTGGTGGGAGGCGGAGGCATCCAATCCAAGTCCTTTTTTAAATGTCCACGACCGCACTTACACCCACAAGCCTTATACGCTAAATCGTAGCCCTTCTTGGTCCAGAGGTTTTGATGCCTTTGGCGTTCGGACCACGAACGAGCCCTGCCACAAGTTTTAAGATAACTTAAGACGGATTGTTCCCATTGATCAAAGCACTCACGGTGCATATATCTTCCCGATGTGCACAATTCGTTATTGCAAGTAACTCGCACGGTATCCCGGAGATCGTCCAACGAAATAAGCATGTGGTCATTGTTGTTCATATGTTGCTGGGCGCGCAGACACTCTCCCGTGGGCACACAACACCTGGTGACACCGCCGGTGACCTCGTCCCCGACGAGGCCCTGAACTTGCGCTAAGTGTCGACGAGGTGCCATGTTCATATAAACTGTGTGTGACCTTGAAGAGATGCGTTCACGTCTTCGATGCGGCTGCTTCGGAGGCCTACTGTGACCGCCGGCATACGCACGCCGCACTCGCCAGGGAAAGTGCGTGGTGGGGGGCGACGATTCGGAAAGCGAAAGGTAGGGGAAGGTGGGGGAGCGATTTTCACTTTCGGTTTCGCGGCGACGCCACAGACGCAAGCGCCGGATTTTCACTCTCCGACGGCCCTGACCATCGAGGCAGCGGACGACGTCGGGACGGCGCTCATGCCGCTGGCGATGTCGATGCCGTGGTGATGCTTGCTCCTGCTGAAGGCTGCCGATTTGTTTGGCTTTTGGATGAACGTACTGACACGCGGTTCACCGGTATTGCATTGTTACTACACCTATGTGAATATTTCTAATAGCGACGTGACGAGGCTGTGGGTGAATTTGAAAGGTCCGTAGTGTATTTTCGTTTAGGTGACATTCATTCATTAATTTTATAGCTCATTCATAATTAAAAATATTTTAATACTAAATAATTTCGTGCGTTTATTTACACTGTGTTTAAATACATATATTTATAAATACGGATTTAATTCATAATGTATTTATAAGTATATTATATAGGTAGTTTTGAGAATTAATATTTATTTCTTAAAAGTATGTCTTCTTTTTTTATTTTAATTAACCACGCAGGGTCATTAGAGTATTTAGATTAATGTGACAGTTGATACAATTAGCGTATGTACATTAGTTTACAATAATAATATGTATGTGTATTATAATGTATATTTTAGATCTTTTGAAAAAGTTGACAGTCTTTAAGATAAGAAAATATTTTTTTGGTATCTTCTATACCTTCTAGGGCATCTATTAGGGAGTTGGGTATTGCTATATTTGAGTCTTTAACTGTTATATTTGGAACATTGTATTCAAAAATGTTTTACCGTTAGAACACTGTTGAACACTTCACACACTGGTTTATTTTTGCGCTGTAATACTGATAAGTAAGTCGCGTATGGCCGATACGGAGACGGGTAAGTATCACTTGCTCTCTTCTGTCTTTTATTTTTGGTTTCCAAAGATGTGAATGTTTGTTAACTTCGTATAGCCTTGATATAGTGTTGCTCCAAGTTTGTTGCCATTTTTTAATTATTTTTTGTTTTAAGTATGGTTTTAAATCGTTTTGTACCAATATGTTACTTTCTTCGGACATCGTGTTAGTTGGTGCGTTTTGAGCCAGTTTATCTACAACTTCGTTACCTTTAATTCCAACATGAGAAGGACCTATAAAAAGTCAACTTGGATGTTCTTATTTGAAAGGTTTTGAAGTTCTTTTTTAATAAGAAGTCGAAGGGGGTTGTCACAGTACAATTGAGCCAGTGTGGATAATGAACTTAGAGAATCTATAATTATTATAGATCTTTCTTTGTTTTTGTTTTTTATTAACGACAGTGCTTTTAGAATTGCGAATAATTTAGCTGAAAAGATGGTTTTAATTGACGACAGTTTGAAACTAACTGAAGAGTCTTCCGAATACATTATTGCTCCAAATCTGTGTTCATTTTATGACGCAGCGATGTATACATTGTAGGTATTACCATATCTGTTTAATAGTGTATGAAACTTTTATTTAATGACGGTTGATGATATCTCTGATTTTCTTAGGTTTGTTAGACTGATGTCGATAGCAGGAATAGATATTGTCCATGGTGTAGGGTTGTGGATTGAGAGGTATCATAGGTTTTTGGAAATTGAAAATTTAATTTGGATAAGTATGATTGCATACGAAAGTAAAAAGGATGATCAATTTGATGTATTTGTTGAAATTTATTTGTAAATCGATCAGCAAAAGCGTTATGCAGTACTGGACTATTTCGGTTTGATGATACTGCTGCTGCTTGTTAGGCTTAACTATGTTAGGCTTAGATATTGTCTTCTAAAAGAAAGAGGAAGTTCTCCACTTTCCCAATAGTAACTTTGAATGGGGCTTGTGGAGTGAGCACCTGAGAAATACGTAGATATCTAGTTTGGATAATATCCAGTGACATTAAATGTGTTTTTTTGGAGGAGTTGTGGACGAATGCTCGCTCCATAGTCAAGTTTTGATCGAATTATGGATTTGTAAATAAGTACTAAACTTGAATAATCAGCACCCCAGTTTTTAAACGCAAGTGATCGTAGTAAATTTAAACCAGGCAGACAGGATTTTTTCAGCGGTTGAATATGTGTCTTCAAGTTAATTTTTTATCAAACGTCATACCCAAGAATCGGATTTCTTCTACATAATCTATTTTTCGTTCATGTAGATATAATTCTTTTGTTTGGATTTTATTTCTTTTTGAGAAACAGATTGCTTTCGTTTTTGAAGTGTTAAACTGAACTCCACTTGTAGTTGACCATTTCTCAATGTGTGTCAACGCTTTTTGAATGTGATTGTGAATCGTTGCTGGTTTTTCCTCTACAAAAAATAACTAGGTCGTCAGAGTATAGTTTAGCTTTGACCAATTTGTGTTAATATCGAATTTATTGCTAATAAGACCAAAGTTGTGCTTAAGTTTGATCCTTGTTGTATACCATTTTGTTGAGTTTTTGTTTAAGAATATGTTCCGTCAACTCGAACTTGAAATTGTCTGTTTTTAAGAAAATTTGAAATGGGTTTTAATATGTTACCCCTTATTAACCAGTTGCTGCGTGTTTTAATGATTGAATATTTCCAAACTGTATCATATGCTTTGCTTATATCAAAAAATATTCCAACACAGTGCTGTTTTATTGCAAATGCTTCGTGGATTTCCGATTCCGATATTTATTATTTTTTCTAATATTTTACATATGCTACATGTGAGTGATATCGGTCGATATGTTTGTGGATTTGATTTTGGTTTAGTTGGTTTTATAATAGGTATTATGATTGAATTTTTCCATGATTTAGGAAACACGTTTTTGGATAGGATTATATTGTAGATTTTGAGTAAATGTTCTTTAGATTGAGAGCCTTTAGATTGAAGTTTTTAAGAAATATAAACGGTATATTGTCGGGTCAAGGACAAGTGTTCTTACAGTTTTGAAATACATTTTATAATTCTTCCTCTTCCGTAATATTCTATAGGAATTTTTTCTTCTTTTATTTTGATATCCAAGAAATTGGAAGTATAGAAGTATAATTTAAGTTACTTGAGTTATATTCATAAGTAGATGCTAGTATATTTGATATTTCTTCTGGGCTTTTATAAATAGGTTAAATTTGGGTTTTGATCTAGACATTTTGTTGACTTTTGTGTCGTTTGAATCTATTAAAAGCTTGTTTCGATTGTTTTAATGCTTCTTTGCAGTCATGATTCCACCAAGGTACCGACTGATGTTTATGATGGTATTAATTATTCTAACTTACTTATTTGCTGATTCTGTGATTACGTTTGTCAGGTAGTATATTGTTTTGTTTATATCTACATTGTCATTTAGGTTTTGCAGATTGTATTCAACATAATTTTGAAATTCTGTCCAATTTGCTCCCTTTAAGTTCCTATTTAGTTGTTGCGGGGTAGTTGATTGTAGTTTGTTGCTTATTATGATAGGGCAGTGATCACTATTATATAGATCTGGTAACACATCCCACATACGAGTATATGTAATTGATGGTTCGCCAATACATAGATCTACACTAGAGCCTTCGCCCGTTCTTGTGTCAAAACGCGTATGTTGTCCGTTGTTAAGGATATTTAAGTTAATTACTATTTAACTGGGAATAAGCCACAATTAAAGATAAAAATACGTTTATTGACGTTTCAATTTCCACTTCGGAAATCGTTCTCAAAATACAAACAGTAAATAAGCAATTTTTTTAAGTTGGCTTATTTTATTATTTTTTCCATTTTTCGACCTAGAGATGTTAGTTTTGCTGAACCCCATAACGGATTATGTGCATTAAAATCTCCAATTATTATCCATGGAGCAGATAGTTGATTTAATAGGTTTGAAATACTGTCTCTGTTGTATTTATTTTTGTTATTACACTACTGGATCACTAATTAACGAAAAGATTTTTAGTCTTTCACTAGTTTCTATTTCTATATTAATTTTAAGAGCTCGATTTTTTTTTTTATTTAAATTAATGTGTCTCGGCTGCAATGGCCATTGACACAAACAATATTGTGCACAATAAGCACATATTACTAATTGCTACAGTTAATCTATGAGCTTAGCACCTACGACTAAATAATACTATAGTTTTATCACTAAGTTATATATAAGATAAAGGTAGAGTACATGCAAAACAAGGGGTCATATTCTGTTGATCAACTGAATGTCTTTTAAGAAACCAATTGGGTTAAAGACTTGATCGGGCGAGTTTAAAACGTCTTTGATATTTGGCTTAAGTTTATGTTGCGCTGTGTGTTTTGCGTACCGGGGAAACTCGATCAGGATATGTTTCACAGTTAATACACTTGAGCAGATTTGGCAATTGGGCTTCGGCTCGGATTTAATTAAATATTCATGTGTAAATCAGGTATGTCCTATTCTTAATCTTTGGATGACAGCTTTTTCGTTTCTAGACATTTTTGGAAGTTCAAATTTTTCAACAGTCTGCCGGATCTCAAGTAATGCACTCTTGATTGTGTTCCAGTGGATTTACCAGGTATGATACTGTTGTTGCTTGAAAATTTGCTTTAAGTCATTACGGATTTGAATACGTTGAGCTTTTAAGGATTTACTGTTTACACAAGAAGCTTGCTTTAAAGAAGCTCGATTTTAAAACACGTATTAGCTACTACGTTCAGAGTCGAATTCAGTAATCCAAATAGGATGTTAATTTTATTATTATTTACTATTTACACGTTTATCTTTGAAGAAATAATCGTTTAAATATTTAAATTTTTAAGAGAAACTTTGAAATGCATCTAAACACTTTGACGTTCTATGTCTTCTTTGTTTAAATAAAATGATTTGTATTTAGTTTGAGATTGTTAATATCTATCAGATTAATTTATATAATAATATTGTATAAT